CTCACCCTTGGTGGCGTCGTAGAGAGTGCCTGAGCGAATAGCAACGACCCCAGCTACAGACGAGTTGAACACAATGCTCGCATTGCTCTGATATCAGATCTAGCACCGGCACTATCAGCAGCAGCAGCAACAACACCACTATTACTAGGAAGGGAGACTCACCCTTAGTGGCGCCGTAGAGAGTGCCTGACCGAATAGCAACGACCCCCGCAACAGACGAGTTGAACACAATGCTCACATTGCCCTTGGCTGTACCATCAGTAGCACCAGCGCTGGCAGCGGCTTTAAGCAGAGGTGTGCGAGTTGGCAGAGGTGGTAGGCGGACTCAAAATTGGTGCCCCACACGTGGTGGAAGTCGGATAGGGAGTACTCCACTGTGGGCTTGCGAATGTTAGTGCCCACGTTGTTGATCTGCGGGTGTTAGGAAGGATGCCAGGATGCAGTAGGGAATGAGAACGGGGATAGTAAGGGTTGGCAGGGGTGGTAGGCGGATTCAAAGTTGGTGCCCCACACGTGGTGGAAGTCTGAAAGGGAATAGTCGACTGTGGGCTTCTGACTGTTAGTCCCCACGTTGTTGACCTGCACAGGAGGAGGAGGGAAGGGGGAAGGATGGGAATGGTCATGGGAATAAGAGCGAGTTGGAAAAGGTGGTAGGCGGATTCAAAGTTGGTGCACCACACGTGGTGAAAGTCAGCTAGAGAGTAGTCAATCAAGAGGAGGAGGGATCTTGCTAGTTCTGAGCTTGCAACAGAAGAACATGTGCCCGCATACTCATAGCTCTTCATCCCGTAAACTCTCATTCACAAGTAATCTCCTCTTTTGACGTTGGTGAGAAGAGGGAAGGCATAAACGCCACCTTTTGGTGAGAGGTGGGTTGGAGCAGAAGCAGCATCAACAACGCCTCTGATGCTCCCGCGCAGCCCTCTCTGCCCCGAATGCGCATTCTGCATCGGGAGACAATAGGCATCCCACCTGGCGCACGGATGCCTTCCCCAGCCCCAATCATTGCCCGAGAGGGTGCCGCTCCAACAGGCAACTGTGGGGGCATCCCCTTGCTGCACTGTAGCTTCGCTACTGTAGCTTCGCTACTGTAGCTGCCATCACACGACCACCCCGTCCCACCTTCCGCCTAATACAGGGGTTTGGGAAAATATCCCACCGCCAACTGATCAGGTGCACTGACTGATAAACCGCCCGCAAACAACCGCCGGGCCTACGTACCAGGTGGTTCAGTTTCCCGCCAAAAGCCTCTGACACCTTCGTTATAAGCACCTCCCGCTGCTCCGGCTCCTTGACATCGCACGCCCACCCCGTCGCCGCCCACCCCTGCGACTGTAGCTCCGCCACTGTAGCTGCCACGTCAGCCTCGCCACGTGAGCATACAAACACGTGCGCGCCTAAAGATGCTAGCTCGTTTGCAATAGCACGACTGATGAAGAGGGGAGGCACGCGGAATAAGGGGGGGGGGGAGGACAGGGGGATGGGAGGGGGGGGAGGGAGAGGACAGGGGGATGGGAGGGGTGGGGAGGGGAGAGGACAGGGGATGGGAGGGGGAGCGGGAGGGTAAGGGAGGGTGGATTGTGTGGGTTTGGGTCAGACTCGAGAGTCAGCCTTGCCACGTGGGCACACAAACACGTGCGCGCCCAGAGATACGAGTCCCCGTGAGATAACGGGACTGATGGGGGAAAGGGAGGCGGAAATGTGGGGAAGGGGGGGGGGGGGGGGGAGAGGGTGTAGAAAGGAGGGGGGAAGGGAGAGGGGGAAAGGTGGGAAGGAGATGAATGGGACGGTGGCAAGAATGAACAGGGTACGCTTTTTAAGCCAGAATCAAACCCAAAGGATCCAGTGGAAGGGACGGATTCCGTCACGAGGGTGTGAAGCGGGCGAATTCCTTCAGAGGGAGTGAATTGATCGGACGGATTCCGTCATGAGAGTGCGAAATGGACGGATTCCGTCACGAGGGTGTCAGATGACAGAAAGAATGAAACGAGAGCCTAGATATCATAGTGTCGTGTGGTTAACCGATGCCTTTGGTGCGCGCCCGTTACAACGAGCCTTCTGGCCGTCAAGTCCTCCATCGAGCCGCGCCATAATGGATTCAGGCCTGAGAATTGACGAATTGTAAACGCACGTGAAGATTAGGCACTTCTGTAACGGCTGACGCACTGGGAAGCAGCAGCCGTCACTGCTGCATTCAGTGATTGGAACGACCACTGCTAATTGATCTTCTCTTGCAAGCGAGATTTCGTGTCGGTAAGCCGACTTGCTCGTTGTCAAATAACTTCTATGTAGGGGAGTTTCAGAAGGCTCAATTTGGTAGGGTTGTGAACGCTTTCACGTGTTTCAGAACCCTAAGGGGGTTTCCAGCTCGTTCATTTACTGTTCTTAAAGCCCTTCGGTTACCACATATTGCGTTTGTAACCACTGAGTTTTTACAAAAATGCCAGACACGATCAGCTCCCGTTCACGATACGGCCACACCCCCTGTACTTACCTCGAATCGTGTGACGCACGTTAAAGGAATCAGCGATGGCGCATCGAACAATGGTACAGAACCGCGTTCCTGCCCCACTACAGTGAGTGCCCATCGTATCGCGCGCTTGATTTCGCATGTGTCGCCTGACACTCGCCAAAACCTATAGTGGAAGTGTTGGCCTGGCGAAAATTCTTACGCTTTGGTTGACGAGGGATCTGGTTACCTTGGTTTGCCACACGGCCCCCTGCACTGTTGAAGTCTGTTTGGGGGGATGGTGTCCGCGCGCCAGATTGACAGAAAGGTTGGACCTCGAGCAAGTCGCGTTCGTTTATAGTAAGTTTTTCAGTTTTGACCCCGATCGTGAAGGACACATAGATTTTCCCGAAATGAACGAGCTGGACACGCCCCTAACCCGGCCTCGCAATCCCAAGGTTTGAGTGGGGTGTCCAGCGCGTTCCATTTTACCGTTCATAAGTCCTATCAGTTACCACATTTTGGGAGTTGTAGCACTGCATTTTACTGAAAGGGTGGACTGACCAACAATTGTACATGAGACGACACGCCAGCTTCACGTACCTCGAGTTGTGTGACTCACGGTACTGCAATACAGCGTGCGCGCGAACTCGGGTAAGTATCGCGTCCACAAGCTACAGCAAGTGCCCCCCTGTATTGCTCGCAATAATTTGCCAGTGCCGCGCGACTATCTCGCCGAAACCACCTGCGCGCTGGCAGCACACATTGCGCATGTGCGAAAAAAGCCAACCCTACTGGTCACGAGGGAGCCGGCTACCTCGGTTTCCAGGCTGTTTTCGCAGTGTTGATCTTTGTGTGGGTGGAAATGTGTCCGCGCGCTGGAAATTCCATAAACTGTGGACTTCTCGGCTCAGTTGTCATTCGTTTGAGGTACAGTGGTCAGTCTTGAGCCCTGAGACGTGTGTGGGCTCTAAAATCCCGAATGAACGCGCTGGACACGCCCTGAGGCTCCCTCTCGCTTCAAACGAGGATGCGAGCAAACGCAACCAAGCAGAGCAAAATTCCGTTTTCGTTACCACTTCTCACGGATCTCAAGACCCTATCCAGGACGTTCTAATCCACTCGAATAACCTTCTGTAACACTAAGAACCCTATGAACCGCATTCACAGTTGCATTCAAAGCATCTCCAAGATGGTTTGGTTCGGTGGAAGGGAGTGCTACCCTCCACCATGGATATGAACTTGCCTTGCTTGCTGCACAGCACACAAACTTTCAGTTGCGTTGAGCAGCAGAATGATCAAAGCATGTGCTTCTGCTGCTGCATAGACCAGACCGGAACCGCGTTTTGACGATTTTCAAAGGTCAGTCTAGAGTTTTCAGAAGCGTTTTAAACAGGTCTCTAGCAGCGCGCTTCGCCTCGCTACTACCACTGCATAGGCCCGAGACCGCGTTTTGACGATACTCGAGGGCCTGTCTGTAGAGGTCTCACACGTGTTTCAACAGGTCTTTCGCAGCGCGCTTCGCCTCGCTCTTACACACGTCCGAACGTCAGTTTGTGGAAAGTTTTCTCATTGCGTTTGGTTTCACGCCGCGTAATTCTTCCTATCTCCGCTCGAAGATCGAACCGCGATCATCATTATCACAATCTCCAAACGCGCAGCGAAAAAAGGAATAATCTCTGTGGACCTAGGCTCCTCGTCTTCAGTACCTCCCCACCTTACGGCTAGTATAAGTGATAGCGGATTGGCTGTACCTAGTATTATCCCCGTGAAGAAGTCCGTACCGAGCTACTAACGAGCATGGCGTCGGACGGACACCCTCCGGAGAACCTAACAGACCTCTTACGCTCCCTGGAGAACTATGATCCTCTGGTGAGTGCATTGATGCGTTGTAAGCGTCTTCTTATGCCTTTTTCCTTGAGGAATCTAGAGAACTTCGACCTGCTGGTTAGTGTGTTTATGCGTTGTAAGTGTCTTCTTATGCCTTATTGCTTTAAGGCGGCTAAAAAAGAAAGCTTCATTTTCTGGAGAACCTACCAACGGTTTAAATCGTTCGGGAGAGCTATGATCCGTTCCAGTCGTTTTCCTCCTTTTCCCCCGTTCCCATTCCTTCAGATTTCCAACGACCTGACTGACTGCAAACTATTTGCAGAGATTGGCGCCAGAAATCCCAACGTTCACGTGCGCGTTCAGGATAGTAATGACCTGTTCCCGCTTCCTCCTTTTCCCCGTTCCCACTCCTTTCAGATTCCTGACGACCTGACTGCATACTATCTGCAAAAATCAGGCGTCAGAAACCCCAACATCCACGTGTAAGTGTATCGAATCACACAAACAACACAAATTCGTTGTTTATCAAAGGCTGTCAAGGAAGTTCAAAATTGTTTTCTATTGATTTTTCTCATGCTTATTCTATCCCTTCTCTCCCATCTCCTCCTACCCCTTCTCTTGCTCTCGTCTCCTCCGTTTCTCTCACCCATATTGGCTCTGTGCATGCATGCGTACCAGCACTCGCCTTGTATCAGCTGCGGTTCATAAGCTCATAGGAGAGATGGCCAGTGACGCTGTTTTAATCTTTTCTCCTCCCTCCCCTCCCCCCCTTACCCCTTTCCCCCCTCTGATACAAGTTCAGAGGAGCACAAGCTCATACGAGAGGTGGCCAATAAGCTGTCTCAAACTCCTCCGCTTCCTCCCTCTCTCCCCCCCCTCCGCACCCCCCCCCCCCCCCCCCCCCCCCCCCCCCCCCCCCCCCCCCACCCACCCACCTCGTTCTGTGCACGCATGTCACCAGCACTCGCCTTGTGTCAGCTGCGGCTCACAAGTTCATAGGGGAGGTAGCCAGTGACGCTCTACAGTAAGTTTATGATGCGCACAGTAGGCTTATGATGTGCTACATTAAGTTTATGTGTGCTGCAGTAGGTTTACATGATGCATTACAGTAAGTTTATAATGCGCTACAGTATAGCTTATGATGCGCGACAGTAAATTTACAATGTTTTAGAGTAAGTTAATGTGCGCTACAGTAAGTTCGTGCGCATGTGCCACTCCCTTTCTCAAGCAAGTTGAATGGCATATCAATGCTGTCACACTCCTCCTCAAACCCCCCCCTCCCCTCTTTCTCTCTTTTCTCCGCTCCCTCCGTCCCTTCCTCCCCCCTCTCTTCCCCCTTTTTTCCCCCTTTCTCTCCCCCCCCTCCCCTCGTTCTCCCCCCTTCCTCCCCCTTACCTTTTCAGGTTCTGCAAGATCCGGCAGGCGGGCAGTGGCAAGGAGATGAAGTCGAGTGTTGGGGCTGATGCTGCCCCTCAACCCTGCCCCACTGCACCCTCCCCATTCCTTCTCCCCCCTCCCCCCGTTCCCTTTCAGGTTCTGCAAGATCCGGCAGGCGGGCAGTGGAAGGAGATGAAGTCGAGTGTTGGGCTGATGCTGCCCCTCAACCCTGCCCCACTGCACCCTCCCCATTCCTTCTCCCCCCTCCCCCCGTTCCCTTTCAGGTTCTGCAAGATCCGGCAGGCGGGCAGCGGCAAGGAGATGAAGGCGAAAGGGCCCAAGGAGAAGAAGCTTGTACTCACTACAGAGGACCTCGCTGCTGCATTGAAAGAGGTGAGTTCATACTTAATGGCAACATATAGCTTCATTGCAAGGTTGGAGTAAGGACCTGTGGTGTAGGTGTTTGGTCCTTCATGTTTACTCCCCCCACTGAAACGTGTGTTTGCTCTGTCCGCTTGCTTTTGTGTGTGTGTGTGTGTGTGTGTGTGTGTGTGTGTGTGTGTGTGTGTGTGTGTGTGTGTGTGTGTGTGTTTGTGTGTGTCCGTGTCTGTGTCTGTGTCTGTGTCTGTCTTTTATCGTTCTCCATCTGTTGATGTGATATCCGTTGTCATTCTTTACAGTATGGTGTGAATGTGCGGAAACAAGACTATTTTGTGGATGGACCAACTCTAGTTGTAGGGAGAACAGGCAAGCACTGATGGTGTATGTAAACACCTATACCGGGTTGCAGTTTATTAACATACTTTTATTGATCTGGTTTATGATGAGTTTTGTAGTTCGGTATTTCAAATACTGCTTGTATGCATTTGAAGTAGGAACAGTGTCAGAAATCATTGCCTTCCTGTTAATTTCCGTTCACAGCACGTTAAACAGTCGCTTTTTATTGCAAGCTAACTGTATAAAGGCAGCCACACTTACGTTGTTGCGAGTCATCCTGTACTGGAATACCGGTAGCATTTCCTTCTGACAGTAGCAGACAAGAATCTATGAGCCCAGGTTGGCCGGGGGGGACAGAGCAGTTTTGATAATTAGGCAGCAGAACCAAGGTATGGTGGGTAACGGAGCCGTGTGTCGTCCTTTTCCTCCAGGCATGCATGTCATTTAGCATAGAATAATCTCGCTCGAGTAGCATATGAGCATGTCAATTCGCATTTGACCATGTGATGTTTGCGTGCTGTTTCGATTTCGAGAATCTCGAACCACGCTGCACGTTCATGAACCACTTATGTCAGTTCGAGCCGTCGTCGTGACTCGTGACTCGTGATTCGTCGCGGCTGACCAGGTGTTCAATACAACCAATCGAGTTCCTGGCGACGCGATCAGCTCTGCTTCTTAGGACCCGAGTTTCGTCGTGCGACGCGTGCGACCCACGCAAGAATCCAGGCGACATAGACACTGCTGCGCGTACGCGCACGCGCACGCCGCTTCTTGGCGCTTCCCAGACCTCTCTGCTAGGTAGTTCTGTCCCCCTTCTCCCCCACTTACCCTGTTCCTCTCTCCGCCCGTACCTGCGCACTGCCCCACTCCCGCGGCTTTTCCCAACCATTTCCGCCGAAACTTTCACCCCCTCCCTCCCCTCCCCGAGAAGTCGCTATCAGTAATTGACTTGCTGCTGCTTTCCGGCTATCAAGCGATTATCCCAAGGCTAAGAAAAAGTACAGCACTGTATACAGACGATAATCCCAACGGCAGGAAACAGTATAGTATTGTGCATAGATTTGGATCCAGCGTGGCACAAAGGCGACGAACGGTTGCAATGCGAGTTTGCCCTAGAGGAGTGATGGATCCAGAGTTGGAAGCATCGCCCTAAATCACGTGGCTGACTGACGCGCTGCTGCGATTGTCCGCGTCTCCGGCGTTCCAGCAAGAGCGACTGTAGCGAGCGTCGGGTGTTCGGCATAAGCGAAACAGTTCAAGGGGAATGCCGCTGCCTGTTGATTCCTCGACTGGTCCCTGGGTACGCTGAATTCGCTTTGCCATTTTGCCTCACCATTCTTAGATGTTCCGCCATTCTTAACAGCTCCGCATTCGTAGCTTCAAGATCTGTTTATACTCAAATGCTTAGCTTCAAAATTCGTTGCTTCTCACTTTGCTGTGGACTGGAACCCATGGATCATCCATTGTAAGCCCTGGAATCCATGGTTCATCAATTTTAAGCCTTGGAACCTTGTAAGGGATGCATTTCGAACCTCGAATCTCAATAAACCTTTGCGACTAATTCGTCTTTCTTAGCGTTTGAGCCGTTATTTTTTCCCTCGGTAGCTGTTGGTAGCTCTTCTATAGCCGGAGCGCCTAGAGCTTGCCATTTCATGGGCTTTCTGCAACATCACACCACAACAGCCGTAAATCTTCTGGTCCGCATCAGAGCCTATGAGTAGGCAGATTTTGCGACAGGCCTTCTTAAGAGACGCCATCTCCCTTCGGATTAGATTCCACCTTGCTGTCTCATTTGTTTCCGCTCTCGGTGTGAATGATCCTTGAATGAATCTCACAATCGGAGCTTCTCTGATTCCATTCACGTTGGTCCGAGTCTCTCTATCTATCTAATCCCCAGATTATAGCCATTTATCTGATTCCAGCCAATCCCTAAATTCTCAACCGAGCCGAACCCCGTCCATGCGGCAATGCCCTGTTCTTGTAGCTGCCATTTCTTGGACCTGTTCGTGTTGTTTGTTACGAGTCATTTTACAACACGTGGTGTTATTAATCGACTCAAAATGCGTATGTTCCTGTTGTTAATTGCCAGGTGGAGATGTGCGAGAGAGGAGTAGCACAGGAGGGTGGTGTGACAGAGGAGAGAAGAGAAGGAGGAGAGGGAGTAGATGCTGAGAAAGGGGGGGAGACAGTGGAGAAGCAACAGCAGGAGGAGAGGGAGAAGGGTGTTGAAAATGAGGCTGATATCGACGAAAATAATGGCAGTAGGGAGGAGTATTACCGTTACAATGATGGTGCTGCTGACGAGGCTGATGTGGATGATCACAATGATGATGAAGAAGATGAGGGGGAGGAGGATGCAGATGCAGACGAGGTGTTGACAGTTGACGATGCCATTGATTCCATAGGTGAGCCTCTGCTAAGAGTCGTAATAAACTCAAATATATGCAAGCAGTCCTTTCTCCTGTTGAGGAGGACGGAGATGCAGACGAGGTGTTGACGGTTGACGATGCCTTTGATTCCATAGGTGAGCTTTTTTTCAGTGCCCTAACTGTATTGAATTTGTGCCAGCTGTTGCTTTAGGGTTCGAAATCTCGCCCCAGGTGATGGGGATGGAGGATACTTTTCGAGGCGCCTCAAACGCCGCCCAAATGTTTTTGAAATACCAAAGATCGCTCCCCAAGTTGAGATTTTGCTCGATGTCATTCCATGCTCCAGTAACCTTTCCGCGCGTTTCCTCTCTGTCTCACCACCTGTCCTCTCCCCTCTCACTCATTCCCTTCCTCTTTCCCTCTTCCCCTCCTCCCCTCCTTAACCCCCACCAGGATTCGGACCCTACCAGCTCTTCCTCGTGTGTTACACTGGCCTTGCATGACTCATAGAGAGTTTATAAGTTACCCCCCCATCCTCTTCCCCTCACCAGGATCCGGACCTTACCAGCTCTTCCTCGTGTGACACTGGCCTCGCCTGGCTAGCTGACGCCATGGATGGAGATACTCTTTCCTTCATTTCACTCTCTCCCCTCTCTCCCTTCACCAGGCTTCGGCCCTTACCAGCTCTTCCTTCCTCGTGTGCTACACTGGCCTCGCATGGCTTGCTGATGCCATGAAGATGCTCCTTCCTACTCTCTCTCTCTCTCTCTCTCTCTCTCTCTCTCTCTCTCTCTCTCTCTCTCTCTCTCTCTCTCTCTCTCTCTCGAACGGACCTTCGTATTAATAGCATCAAGGTACAGTCATTGGTACTAAGCTAGTCTAAGCAATCAACCGGCAATCAAGCAAGTCAACAACCAAACAAACAAGCAAACAAACAAACAAACAAACAAACAAGCAAACACACCAAGGTACCACTGCTCATCCCTCCCCTACCCCCTCTCCCCACGGCCCTACTGGCCTGTGGGGTCTTCCAGCAGCTGGTACAGCTGCTCCTCCCCCAAGCTGCCAAACGGGCCTTGCAGGCCAAGCTCATCCGCGGCAATGGCCTTGTGGGTCTTGTCGCGAAGGGCATTGGCCTGGGCGCGCTGGAGAGTCACACTCCAGCGCTGACGGTACTCCGTGAGGAGCCTGGCCACCTCCCTCGACTTTGGCGCAGCGTTGAACCGCCGCTTGCCCGCGAGCTCGGCGCAGCTGCGGAGGAAGGCGTGCACTCCCGGGGACGGGTAGCCGTACGTTTCCACCGCCATGGCGTGGAAGCCTACCCACGCGTTCCGCCGCGCGTACTTGTCCTCTTTCTAGGCGGCTTGCATCCTTGCAGCCCACCCAGGCGCCTTCCGCGCAAGCTCATCTTGGTGGGAGACCGGGTCCGTCACGGTGATGTCGCACATGTGAACCTCGCCGGTGTCGGGATGGCGGATGCAAACATCCGCTTTGAGGTTTTCTACCGGAGAGTAAACTGTAGATTCCTTGTACACCGTGTATCCTGCCTCTGCTGCGATCTTCGCACACTCATCTCGGAGGGCATGGTGAGTGGCAATCCTCCCCCCGCCTTTCTCACAGCGCATGAGGTGGTTGGGAAGGCGGTGGTCAGGGAAGGTCGTGCGGAAGCGGCAGTCGCAACGCCGTTGGTGCAGTCGGTGCTGGGCCTTCTCTCTCTCTCTCTCTCTCTCTCTCTCTCTCTCTCTCTCTCTCTCTCTCTCCCTCTCTCTCTCCCTCTCTCTCTCTCTCTCTCTCTCTCTCTCTCTCTCTCTCTCTCTCTCTCTCTCTCTCTCTCTCTCTCGAATGGTCCTTGCATTACTATGAGGGGTGGTACAAAGGAAGATGCAGAACACACAAGCACAACAAACATCCAAACCGAGATCCGAACTACCTCAAGTCTCCTACCTACTCAGCCCCCCCCCCCTCTGTCCGACCCTACTGGTCGAACGGGGCCTCAATCAACTGGTGCAGCTGTCCCTCACTGAGAGGGATGATGGGTCCTCTAAAGCCGAGCTCGTCCGCCGCCAAGGCCTCGTTGGTCTTCGTGCGGAGGGCATGGTGAGTGGCAATCTCTCTCTCTCTCTCTCTCTCTCTCTCTCTCTCCTCTCTCTCTCTCTCTCTCTCTCTCTCTCTCTCTCTCTCACTCTCTCCTCTCCTTGCCCCTTCGCTTCCATCCTATCCTCCTGTTCTCACCAGGTTTCGGCCCTTATCAGCTCTTCCTCGTGTGCTATACTGGCCTTGCATGGCTCGCTGATGCCATGGAGATGATTCTGCTCTCCTTCGTGGGACCAGCGGTGAGTGCAGGTCATGGTCATACATACTAGCTATATATTAATCAATTCGCCTTGCCTTGCCTGGCTCGCTGGCGCCATGCAGATGATTCTGCTCTTCTTTGTGCGGCCACCAGTGAGTGTGGTCTCATGTATTGCATTGCATTGCAGTGCTTGGTAGCTCTTTTTATGGTCAGGGAGGCAAGAACTTGATGCGGTCTGATCTGACTGACACGTGTTGGGTCTTACCTTGCTCGCTGAGCTGAATTATTGTGTCTTACCACTTTATTTACTGGTTACGTACCACCAGAACAGTGCCTTCTGTCCCTTTCACTGCCTCTTGAGGCGCCTCAAATTTCTGGCTCGCTGAACTGATTTAAGGCATCGTACCACTTTATTCACTTACTGGTCCACCTGCCTCCTGTCGTTTCCCCTGCCTTGCTTCTTCCCCTGCCTTGTTTTTTCTCTGCCTTGTCTCAACCAACGCAATCTCCCGTTCTCCCTGCCAGGCGCGGTGTGAGTTTGGACTTTCAGCAGCAGAGGAGAGCCTCATAGCGAGTGTGGTGTTCCTGGGTGTATTTTTGTAAGTGCCCTTTTTGTCGACCCCTTCATTAGCACAATCATCCAAGCAGGGGAGAAGAGCCTAACTGTCATTCCAGCGTGATGGTGTTCTGTTGCTTGATTCTCTATGTTATATTTTTCTCCTGTCAGGAAACACATCCTGTGCTCCCTTTAGATCAATTTCCCCTCCCTCCCTCCATCTCCCTTCCATCCTTCATGTGTCTGCCATACCAGGGGATCGCACATGTGGCAGCGCGTGACAGGTGCATGCAGAAAGAACAAAAAGAGTCTTCTCAACCTGTGCTCCCTTCAGCTCAATCTCCTCTCCCTCCCTCCATCTCACCTCCATCCGTCATGTGACAGGGGCTTGTACGTGTGGGGCCTCGTGGCAGATGCCTAGAGCAGAAGGAGAGGGTTCATCATGACACCGCTGCCCTCTTCAATCCATTCAACCACCTTGTGTGTCCCTTACCATCCATCTCCTTTTATCCATCTTTCACCTGCCAGGGGCTCCTACGTGTGGGGCCTCGTGGCAGATGCCTACAGCAGAAGGAGAGGGTTCACCATGACACCGCTGCCCTCTTCACAATCAGCCACCTCTCGTCTCTCTTGCTCCCATGCTCTCATCTTCTGTCTGTCCATATCAGGGGCTCCTACGTGTGGGGCCTCGTGGCAGATGCGTATGGAAGGAGGAGGGGGTTCATGGCCTCTGCTCTCTTCAACTCAATTGCCTCGTGTTTCTCTGCCTTTCCTTGTCTCTCATCTTCCTTTTCACTCATCTTGCATCCGCAATGCCAGGGGCTCCTACGTGTGGGGCCTCGTGGCAGATGCCTATGGAAGGAGGGGGTTCATGGCCTCTGCTCTCTCAAGTGAAACACCTCAATCCAACGGCATCTCGTCTCTCTTCCTCCCATGCTCTCATCTTCTGTCTGTCCATATCAGAGGCTCCTATGTCTGGGGCCTCGTGGCAGATGCCTACGGAAGGAGGAGGGGGTTCATGGCCACTGCTCTCTTCACTCTCTTCGCTGGCTTGCTCAGGTAATTTTTCAGGTCGGGTAGTTCCTCAGGTGTTTTTTCCGGGTGATTCTTCAGGTGAAAAGGTGGGCCAAATACTGATTCAGTTCATTATCTCTGCGTTTATAACTTTTAGGTCCGAGTCAGGCCCGAAGATTCTCGCATCAGGTCGCATTGGTTGTCTCCCATGCTATATCCTTGATCCATCCCTCTTTGTCCTTGTCCGAGTGCGACAGCCAATGCGACCTGACGTCTCCCATCCTATATCCTTGTGAGAAGGTTGTAACCTTCTCACATCAGGTCACTCACATTGGCTGTCTCCCAGCCCAGCCCACATCCATCCCTCTTTTTCCTCCCTGTAACCCCATCTCCTCCACCCCCTCATCGTTCTTATCCATCTCTTCTCCTCCATAACCTCACTATCCTCCCTCCACACACCCCACACCACACACACAGTGCGTGGTCACCCACCTTCCTCGCCCTCCTCATCTCTCACTGCCTTGTGGGGTTTGGCATCGGAGGGGCTTCTGTGCTACTCTCTCACTCAGTATTCTCCTCTCCTCTTCCCTCTTCCCTCCACCACACAGTGCGTGGTCGCCCACCGTCCTCACTCTCCTCATCTCTCGCTGCCTTGTGGGGTTTGGCATCGGGGGGGTGGTGGTTGCCGAACATCCCCTCACCATCCCTCCCTTCCTTCCCCCACACCACACCACACAGTGCATGGTCCCCAACCTTCCTCACTCTCCTCGTCTCGCGCTGCCTCGTGGGGTTTGGCATCGGGGGGGCATCCGTGGTCTTTTCCCTCTGCTCCGAATTCCTTCCCTCCCACTGTCGGGGTTTCTGGCTCGTGTTTATCGAGTTCTTCTGGACGGTAAGTGACATGCTTAGTGCTGTTCCGTGGTAAGTGGCATTGGAGGGGCATCAGTGGTCTTTTCCCTCTGCTCCGAATTCCTTCCCTCCCACTGTCGGGGTTTCTGGCTCGTGTTTATCGAGTTCTTCTGGACGGTAAGTGACATGCTTAATGCTGTTCCATGGTAAGTGGCATTGGAGGGGCATCAGTGGTCTTTTCCCTCTGCTCCGAATTCCTTCCCTCCCACTGTCGGGGTTTCTGGCTCGTGTTTATCGAGTTCTTCTGGACGGTAAGTGACATGCTTAGTGCTACTTCAAGCAAAATCCTGGAACTTTTATGAGATTGCCTGAAAACGAATAACATGAAGGTACTCCTTGAGATTATAACGAAGGTAATAAAAATAATGAAATCTCCACGACGCATTACATTATGTCCGCACCTTCTTGTTTCAGGTATTTTTTCAAAAGCAGTCCTACCACCTTCCTGCATCTCACTCACTGTGCATAGTTCTCCTCTGCCCCTTGCTTTGCCTCCCCCATGCCTCTTGCCTCTCACCATGCCTCTTGCCTCTCACCATGCCTCTTGCCTCTCACCATACCTCTTGCCTCTCACCATGCCTCTCCCGCACCATGCTTCTTGCCTCTCCCGTGCCTCTCGCCTGTCTTTCCAGATTGGGTCGCTAATAGAGGCGGCGCTTGCTTGGGCAGTCATGCCGAGCCTACACTGGAGGTATGGAGATTTACCAAACCTGCTTCATATTTCTGGGAAGTACCGTTGGCCTGGTTTGAAAGTTACTGGAAAGGTCCCTGTCTAGCCCACGTAGTGATCTTCTCCTGTTCTACCATGGCTCCTGTTCTACCATGGCTCCTGTTCTACCATGGCTCCTGTTCTACCATGGCTCCTGTTCTACCATGGCTCCTGTTCTACCATGGCTCCTGTTCTACCATGGCTCCTGTTCTACCATGGCTCCTGTTCTACCATGGCTCCTGTTCTACCATGGCTCCTGTTCTACCATGGCTCCTGTTCTACCATGGCTCCTGTTCTACCATGGCTCCTGTTCTACCATGGCTCCTGTTCTACCATGGCTCCTCCTTCTGGCCCCACTCTGCCACTCCCTTCCCTTCCTTTCCCCCTCGCTGCCCCTCCCTGCACCTCTCTCCCCCTCCCTTACCCTCCCGGCCAATCCCTACCCCTCCCTACCCCTCCCTACCCCTCCTCTCCTCTTGCCTCCACCCCAGGGCCCTAGTGCTCCTCTCTGCTGCGCCCTTTGCTCTTCTGCTGCTGCTCTACCTTCCTTCCCCAGTCACAATACACCTTTCTCCTCTTGCTCCTCTCCCTCCCTTCCTCTCCTTTTTTCCCACCCTGTGTCTGTCTCGTCCTGTCTCCCTCCCTCCCTCCCTCTCGTCTTGCCTTCTCTCCCCTTCCCTTACCCTCCCTGCCCATCCCTTCCCCTCCATGCCCCTCCCACCTCTTGCCTCTCTTCCAGCGTTTTAGTGCTCCTCTCTTCAGCACCTTTGCTCTTCTGCTGCTGCTCTACCTTCCTTCCCGAGTCACAATACACATTTCTCCTCTCGCTCCTTCCCCCTTCCTCTCCTCTTTCCCCACACTGCCCCTCTCTCGTTTTTCCCTCCCTCCCTCCCTCCCTCCCTCCCTCCCTCCCTCCCTCCCTCCCTCTCCGTTTGCCTCCACCCCAGGATGCTAGTTCTCCTCTCTGCTACGCCCTTTGCGCTCCTGCTGCTGCTCTACCCTTTCCTTCCCGAATCGCCTCGGTTTCTCCTGGTCAGTAAAAGATATTGGTGGTGGGTTCGTGTTATGGGGTGGGTGGGTGGGTGGGTGGGTGGGTGAGTGAGTGAGTGAGTGTGTGGGTGGTGAGTGTGGGTGAGTGGGTCTGCAAGCTACACCGTGTGTCCACCACACCTGTTGCGCTCCTGCCTTTGTTTTACCCCAACTCAACCCAACCCAACCCAACCCAACCCACCTCAACCCAACCCAACCCAACCCAACCCAACTCAACCCAACCCAACCCAACCCAACCCAACCCGACCCAACCCAACCCAACCCAACCCATCCCAACCCAATCCAACCCAACCCAAACCAACACCATCCTTCCCTTTCTCCTCTCGCCTTCTCTTCTCCTTTTGCCTTTGTTCTGTGCTCCTCTTCTCTTCCCCTATTTGTGTGAATTAAGAATTTTAGAAATGCACATAAATTTTCTTGCTCATTTTCCTCCATTCACTCAAATAGCGTGTCAGCAGCCCACCACTTTTCATATCCTTTCTCTCCCTTTTTTTTTCCTTCTCCTTCCTCCTTTCCACTTTTTTCCCACCCCTTCCTCCCGTTCTCTCCTCCCTTTACTCACATACCCTTGCCTTCTTACTCCTCCCCCATTCTCACCCCCTCATTCCTCCCCTCCCTCGATCTCCCTCCCAACCCTCTCTCTTATCCTTGCTCTTCCCTTCCCAATCAGCTCAAAGGCAACACGTCAGCAGCACATACAGTCCTAGAAAAAGCCGCTCGAACCAACGGGAAGCGCCTGCCGCCTGGGCGGCTGGTTTCAGCCTCATCTGGTCCAAAGCTACTGGCTTCACCACACCCCTCCTCTCCTTCTCCCGCCCATGCCACCTCCTCGACTCCACCACCCTCCACTACTAAACACCGTTCCTCCCGCTCCTCCTCTCACTACCCTGTCTACTCCTCCTCCTCCTCCTCCTCATCCGTATCTCATTCCCGTTGCTCCTCCACCACCCCTCTCTCTCCGAACAACGTTTCCTTCAACTCAAATTTCGATGCCGGCCCTTCCCTGCCCTCTCAACCCTCTCCCTGCCGAATATCTGAAAGGGCAACACTCAAACACACATTTGAGGCGCCTCAAAGGACACCCCAAACGGCAACACTCCAACACACAGCACTTGAAAGCACGGTGCTCCAAAGAAAAGCGCCTCGAAGCACACGCACGTCTAGCCCCCCTTGTTCTTTGTCTTTCCCTTCCTCTTCCTCCTCCTCTTTCCCGCCTCTCCCATCACAACCAGTATCAGCTGAAAATACTGACAGAGAGCAAAGTAGTCAACACGATTCGCATTCCAAGGAGCAGCTGCAGCAGCATCCCCGCTCCCATCCCCATGCTCATCCCCATCCCCACCCACAGCACCATCACCACCACCAACATTTCCACTCACATCCCCACCTACCTCCTCCTCCCCATCCCTCCTCCTCTTCCTCCTCCCCTTCCTCCTCCTCTTTCCACAAGCTCACTAGCCTCCTTTTCCCCTCCCTCCTTCGCTCTACTCTGGTCGTCTGGCTGCTCTTTTTTGCCTCGGCCTTTTCCTACTATGGGCTCGTGTTGCTGACCACTCAGCTGTCCTCTCAGCCCACCATTCCACACTCCTCTCAACCCACCACTCAGCTGTCTTTTCAACCCACCACTCCGCACTCCTCTCAATCAGTAGGGGGGAGCAGCATTAGATGCAGAATCAGCGGCAGCAGCAGCGGCGGCAACAGCAACAGTAGCAGGAGGAGGAGCAGTAGAAGCAGCAGCAGCGGGAGAAAATGCATCGTATTCCGCTGGCTCTTCCCCTGTTCCCTCTAGAGGCTTGCTCACTGAACAGTCTATTTCTGAGGAGTCTCAAGAGTCAACGCCTGTCCGTGGCTCTTCCCCTGTTCCCTCCAGAAGCTTGCTCACTAAACAGGACCATCCCATCCCTACAGTAGCGATCGCACTCCCTCCCCCTCCACCTCCTCCTCATCCTGCTCCTCTTCTCGGCCCTAGCACACCCAACCATCAACACTCTCTTCCCTCTCTTCGTCGTTCCTTGACTCTCTCTCAACAACAAGATAACTCCACCTCCACCACAGACGATTCCTCGGCCACTCACTCCCCTACCTCTTCCTCCACCTCGTCATCTTCCTTGTATTCCCATTCTCCCTCTTCCTCCTCTCTTTCCCCCTCTCCCTTACCTGGCTGCACACCTGAAAATCAACCTGAGATCTCCTCTCAGACCTATTCAGACGTTTTTGTTACTTCAGCTGCAGAGCTGCCCGGTCTTCTCATCGCTCTGATCGGGGTCGAGATTTTAGGTCGAAAGACCGTCCTCTGGGTTCTCCTCTGCTTAGCAGGGTTTTTTTTGCTGCCTTTGATTCAGCCCTTGCCGCCCACTGCCACCACGATTTTCCTTTTTGCTGCCCGGGCAGCAATTATGGGGTCATTTGCGGTGCTCTGGGCATATACCCCGGAAATTTACCCGACCGAGATAAGATCTACAGGCCTCGGGGTGGCAAACTCATGGGCAAGGTTGGGCGGCTTTCTTTGTCCGTTTGTGGCGGTCGGGCTGATCGAAGGAAATCACAGGGTAGGTCTGGTTGTATTCTTTTGTTTCTTTTTGTTTCGGTTGCTCTTTGTTTGTTGCGTGTGGTTACCAGCTTTGTCCCTTTTCTAACCGTGCGAGCCTGCACATGCACACACACACACACACACACATGTGTTTATGTGCATGTTTGCATGCACACTCTCTCCGCCCCTCCCCTCTCCCTCTCCCCCCTCCCCCCACCCCCCCCGCCCCCAGCACTTAGTTCGACAAAAATTGAATCTTGGAACCCATTGCGTGTGGTTTATGTGTGTGTTATTGGCAAAATCTATTGTTTGCTCTCCGTTTGCAACCTCTCCCATCCTTCCTGGTGTCCACTTTATTTCGTTGTCTTTTGAGGCGCCTCAGGACTCAGGAGGCCTCTTATGTGCTCTCTGCTTGTTTTCAATGCCTCCCCCACTACCATGTCTGCCTCTTGATTGGCTCATGTTCTATGCTGATGCTCGTCACCTGCGGGTTTCATGACATTTTTTTACTGTGGCATCTCATATCTATTTGTATTTCCTCCTTTTTTGTTTTCTAATGCAGGAGTTGGCTATCCTCCTTTTTGTATTTGTTCCTGTTTTTGCTGCCCTCGTTACTGCATGCTTTGCATCAGAGACAAAGGTATGTTCATGCTTTCGAAAGAGTACTACCGAACTCACTGCATCAGAATTAATTTTGATGAATGGCCATCTTCCCTTTCATCCAATCATTTTTCATTGAACATGTTCTCTTACCTATTTTCACCTTTGCTGTATGTAGGGGACTGCTCTTGGGGAGAAGGTATCTACCTTTCGACCCACCAGCCAATCACCGAGCAGCATGTCTCTTACCAGCCCCACTTTTTGTCAACCTGATGCAGCTCACAGCTGGTTTCAAGTGTTTGGGGACGACAGCTCGTGCAGTGACTCTGATTAACCCCTTATATTCTATCTCTTGTCATGTAATATATGTGCCAAAATGTATGCTTCCGAAATCACTGCATTTTTCTAAAATATGAAGTAAATTATCCCTCTTCACTAACCTAAAGGGAACTCTAAATGTATTTTTATTATAATGTATCCAGTATACAGATTATAGTGTCTTTGTCACTACGTCTATTGAGATGAAATAATTCTTGTATCAGGTTTCTTAAAAAAAACACCCACTTGAGTTGCCCGTGCTATGAGGGAAGAAAATATCGCCACACAACGACAGCGTGGGATACGCAAGCAGCGGCACTTGGCTGTTCCAACGATCACCGCGTTGGCCTGGCTTGGGGAGCTTACTGTACAAAAATCCGCGCTGTCGATATACTGTCTTGCATGCAGATTGTGAACTCAACAGTTCCAGGACGGGCTGTCCATGCCTCTTTTGTGTGGCACCTCGTGATTCACAAACATGAACTGGGTGTGGGGTGTTTGTTTCTAACATTGGTTCGATTTACGAAATACAGTTTAGGATGACTTTGTAGTCCTGTTACTCCTTGCTTCTCAGTTTGTTGTGACCATCGTGTTAGACAACAGGATGGTTCCATTTCCTCCCGTAGCATCTCTGCTCCCTAGGAGTTTTATGACTGCAAAAAGGCACTTCAAGTCTGGTGAGGCTGGTGAAATAAGTGTGCGGTTTCTGCGCTGAGTGGTATTCATCTTTTACCCTGATTCGGGCAGGTGGCGCGCAAGATGTCCCGGTGCAGACACTGCATTTTGTGACTTAGCTGGGCGTGGGATGTCATGTCAGCAAGAATGCCTTCAGTTGTGCAAGTGCAATGCAGACGATCAGATCCTCAACTGCATGACGTCATTATCACGTGAAACACTGTGATTACTGGTTAAAATTGACCACGCACCTCGGAGCGAATAATCAGCAGCACCAAATCACAAGGGTCTGTATTGCACTGTACATTGTACACTGTGGAGATCGGTGCATCGTGCATCGTGTATATCGTTCCTTCCGGCGTTCGTGTGAGTCATGCTGGAACAAGGAGGATGGCAGGCCTCTCAAACCACGCCGGACTTGTGACTGACTGCTGCTGATTGGCTCTTGCCTAGCAGCAGAGGGCAAGCAAGCGGCCATTATCTCCGATACTCAGATTTTGCCTGAGCGCGTTCTCAGGTGTAATCAACCTGGACTTTCTCAACGTTGATTGGTCGTCGCGTTTTAGTAACATTTTTCACGCTGGTCGAACTCATTAGAAAGTAACAAAAACAAAACCGTCCAGTTTACCCTCCCGACCTGGATATATGTACGGAAATTAAGGTGAAGGTAAAGGAGGGGGGGAAGCCCCTCTGGGTGTTACCCACACCTGGCTGTCGGTCGTAACCCGCCTCCCCATTTGTTTACACTCCTCGCTGGGTCAACGAGGTTGTTCTATCCACTCCCAGATGAGTAGCTATGTAGCCCCTTCTAGTGGGGGTTGGCGGAATACGCCGCATGGGGGATTTGATCCCGATACCTCATATTTCAGAAGTGAACCAGCTACTCGCTGGACCACTTCAGGATGTACGGAAATTAAGGTAGTAAGAGAATGAAGCCCACAGAATTCACTTGGTAGTGCTTAGTAGCGCAACCGACCGCTAAACAACGCTACCGAAAGCACTAGACGACGCTACCGAGACCTATTTGGGCATGGCATAAAAACAAAATGAAACCCCTAGGGAACCTGGATGCATTTTCGAGAGGGGTCAACCCTAAACACGGAAGTGGGAATTGTTTTTAGGGTTGATGCATCCCCGAGTCGCATCCCTTTCCGAGGTGGGTATTATTATTTTTTGTCAAGTGGGTTACAATATGTTTTCCAAAATATTTGGAGGCTTTCGGTGTTCAGGGTTGATCCTTCCCGGAAAACATATAGGCTCGCTACGGGCATTATATTTATTTATTGCAAGTGCTAGACTTCCTCTTTTTGAGTGACTGTATATAAACATGAAACAGAATAGATTCACACTATATCGAGAAACTGGGTTTCTGTTGGTGTTTACACCTTAGAACGCGCTCATGAAAAATCTGAGTATCGGAGATAATGGCCGGGCAAGCAAGTGCACAGTTGTCACGGAGCATCGCGAGCGAAACCTCGTGACACCACGGAATTTCGGGATTTCTGGGTCGGCCGGGTTGTTTCTGGATTATCCAGACTTTATGGGCTGAATTGTGCAATGGAAATGTCAGGCTCTAGTGAACCTCGTACGAGGTGTTGCGTGCTGAGCGACATGGGTGTGGTACGTACTTGGAAACGCTCTATGTTATGAGGATTTGTTTCGTAAAATCACCAAAATGGGGACAAAATAAATAGAGATGGGACCGCTGTGCACGCTCGACAAGGCAGTGACCAATAAACGCGGATGCATCCGCGAAATATGCATGAAATGATTGCCTGCGTCAGCAGTAGCTTTTGCCCCAAACCAGCATTCACTTCACTGTCCATTATTATCCAAACCCAGCACCTAGTGTGTGTGGATAGCAAAGGTTTTGGAAGTGTGGGTCCTTCATTCCTAAGTGTAGCAGATGTTGTCCACGCGAAGATCATAAGTGGATCCCTCGTACTGTAGTGCCACGGAAATAGGCTGTCACCTCACCATTCAAAGCCACACTCGTTCCAGGCTTGCACGCGCGCCTCACGACACGTCACGTCCCTCCCACACAAACCAAATCACCCTACCATCGCGAACGCTGGGTTTTGATCTGAGCAGTGTTTGATGATACTCGTAGGGACATTTACTCTGAGAAAAAAGAATTGTGGCTTCCGCAAATTCCCGCTTTCGCAAAAAGCAACGTGATCCGCCCGTGGACGGATCACGAACTGATTTATAATTTCACTATTTACCCATAGCAGCAAATCGGACACTCTGGCAGAAAATGGTAGTCAGCCTTTGGAATTTGAGAGTAGCCTAAACTGTACAGTTCCATTCATTCTAAGACTTGCGATTTGTTTTGTTGTACGCCACACTGAATCACTGCTGGGAACGGAAAGACCACCACAGGCAAGCAGCAAATGCAATGCAAGCAGCAGCCCCCAAACGCTACTCTATGTTTCTGAGAGGAGGCCACACAAGTTGCGCCAGTTTTTTCTATTTGTGGCTGTTCCCCAGGGATTCGTGAGTCTCATCCCTCACTAGTGGCAACTGAGGAGCAGAATGGCCAGTTGGACTCAGAGAGCTCTCAAGCTGCATCGCCTGGCCGTATAGACTCTGTTTGCCTGCCAAAATCATTCAGTCAGCGTGCAAATGTCATAGTGGAGCTGATAGCTGTTTTTTTCCGCGATCTCTCGTGGCCAGCATCTCCGTGGCGTCGTCAAACCTATAGAAGTCCTTGCTTTCTTTTTCTTCGCCATTCTGTCATAAAAGAAGTGAGCCGAAGACCGAAGAATGTAACTCAGGCTGAAAGGGAATAGAGTCCTCAGAGGAGTCCTCAGAGGAAATAGAGTTTATTAATTGGCATGTGCTTGATCTGGATCCCAAAAAGTTCCGAAGACTCTTCCAGTGCCAAATTTTCACAGCAGTGACATTTGGACTGCGACGCATCATCCCCAACCGTGACGGCGTCACGCAGACGTAACAAGCGCCGCGGGAGCTTTCTGCGTGACAAGATCTATATGAAGAGAGGCGCCGCGCGCGCGTTATCACCAAACGGCGCCGTGCCCTTGCCGTTTGTAAGCCGGCCGCAGGCGGCGTTACCACCACACCATTGGCAATCATGGTGATTCCTTCACCATCATCACCGTCATCATCGCATGATCATTATGTCCGATCCGATGCGCAACCGCTGCCAGCGCCGCTACTAGCGGCGCGTAATCCGGCGGCGCTGCAGCTGCACGACGAGTCACTGCCAGTGCAGCAGCAGCGGAACCAAGCCGCTGGCGCCGGCTCTACCGCCATCGCCGGCGCAATCCCCGTGGTACAGTCGGCGCTCTTCTCTGTGGACCCTTATCTGGACGCTGCCGCCTCCTCCGCCGCCTCTGCGGCCGCCGCCGCCGCCGCCGCAGCCGCGGGCTCCGCGGGCGCCGCCGCGAGCGCAGCTCCCGCCGTCGGGCCAGCCAGGGGGAGCGATTTTTTGCAGAATCCGCCAATTCTCTCCTTCAAATCTCTCTTTGAATCCGCTCCGCGGCCACTGGGAGACCCTCTTGCCTTAACGGATCTCCCTTTACCGGAGCAAACCGGATGGCTTTCCTCCTCCTCCTCCCTCTCCACCATGCACATCGTGACGTCAGCGGCCTCTCTCCTTCCTTCCCCTTTCCTCCTCCCTTCTCCTATCCTGCCTTCCCCTGTCCTCCCCTCCCCAGTCCTCCCTTCCCCAGGGGCTCTTCCTTTCCCTCTCCTCCATTCCCCTGAGTTTATCCCGAAAACGCAAACGACCCAAAAAACAAACCACGATTTCAGCCAGCCTACTCCTCCTCCTCCCCGTCCTCCAACCTTTCCCCCTCCCCCTCCAACTGCTTTCCCTCTCCTTGACACACGTCTGGCCACGTCAGCAGGTGTTGGATCCAGGTGCTGGGTGGCAGAGAGCGAGGTTGCTCCAGGCGGCGAGGCCTCGGCAGGTTCTGGTTCCGGGCGGCATCGTTTGGAGACACTATCATTGCTGCCGCCCAGCCCAGCACGTGGCACTGTTCCCATCTCTCGTGATGGCACTGCTGCGGCTGCTGCAGTTCCCGCCCCGTTACAAGGACGCTCGTTACAGTCACAGACAGTACCTGCAGTGTTGGAAGCATACTCGGGAAGGGATGATGCAGTACCCAGAAACGCTCCTTCTCCTCGCCTGCTGAATCTCTTTGGGACCCAGTCAGACGAAGACTGTATAACCCAAAGGGGAGATGGAATAAGAGTAGGGGAAGGAAGGATACGGGCGGGGGATGTGGAAGGGGAGGGGAGGATAAGGGAAGGGGAAGGAGATGGGGTGAGAAGGGGGGTAGAAGGGAGGGCAAAGGAGAGAAAAGGGAGGAGAAGCGAGGGGGAAGAGAGGACAAGAGAGGGAGAGGGGAGGAAAAGGTTCAGGGGTAGTGGTGTTTCTAAAGATGATGAAGAGAGGACGGATGAGACAGGTTGGGAGGGTGCTGCGAGGAGGGATAACGAGGATAGGAGAGTGGTCATGAGGGGGAGCATGGGGATGGATGAAAAAATGGGTACTGGCATGGGTACAGGCATGGGGACAGGCATTGGCACGGGCATGGGGAGAGACATGGGGAGAGACGTCACAGGGATGGGGGGCAGAGGTGTTACAATGACTGAGGGTGATGCTAAGGCAGCAGCAGAAGCTGCTGCTGTGGCTGCTTCTGCAGGGTTGTCGTACCTGCAGCAGCGAAATCAACTGTTGCTGCTTCGGCAACTGAGGCAGCAACAGCAGGAGCAGCAAGAGCAGCAGCAAGGGCAGCAGCAACAACAACATGAGATGCAGCAGCAACAAGCCTTGCTGCTGAGAGCTCAGGAGCAAGCTGAGAAGCAGCAGCAGCAGCAGCAGCAGCAAGCCCTGATGCAGAGAGCTCAGGAGCAAGCCGAGCAGCAAGCTGAGAAGCAGCAGCAGCAGCAGCAGCAGCAGGAGGAGGAGCAGCAGCAACAGCAGCAGAGGCAGCATGAGGTGCTGCAGCAGCAAGCCTTGATGCAGAGAGCTCGGCAGAAAGCTGAGAAGGAGAAGGAACAATCGCAGCAGGAGCAGAGTCAAAGGCTGGAGCATCAGCAGCAGAATCAGTGGCTGGAGCAGCAGCAACAACAACAACAGCAGCAGCAGCAGCAGCAGCAGCAGCAGCAGAAGCAGCACCAAGCCCTGATGCAGAGAGCTCGGCAGGAAGCTGAGCAGGAGAAGGAGGAATTGCAGAAGGAGCAGAGTCAGAGGTTGGGGATTCAGCAGCAGCTGATGAAGCAGCAGCTACTGTTTCTGCAGCAGGGTTTTGAGGAGCGAGAAAAGCAGCGGCAGGAGGTGCAGGCAGCAGGTCTGGAGCAGGCACAGAAACAGGAACAACAACGGGCAGAGCAACAGGCAGCACAATCACTCTCACAGCAACAGCAACAGCTGCAGCTGCTTCTTTTGAGACAACTGGAGGAGCAGGCAAGACAGAGACACGAGGGGCAGGAAGCAGAACAGCAGGCACAGCAGCAGGCACAGCAACAGACACAACAGCATGCAGCACAATCGCACGCACAGCAACAGCTGCAGCTGCTTCTTCTGAGACAACTGGAGGAGCAGGCGAGGCAGAGGCAACAGGGGCAAGAATCAGAGCAGCAGACACAGCTGCAGGCACAGCAACAGACACAACAACAGGCAGCACAATCACACGCACAGCAACAGCAACAGCTGCAGCTGCTTCTTTTGAGGCAACTGGAGGAGCAGGCGAGGCAGAGGCAACAGGGGCAAGAATCAGAGCAGCAGACACAGCAGCAGGCACAGCAACAGACACAACAACAGGCAGCACAATCACACGCACAGCAACAGCAACAGCTGCAGCTGCTTCTTCTGAGGCAACTGGAGGAGCAGGCGAGGCAGAGGCAGGAGGAGCAAGAAGCAGAACAGCAGGCCCAACAGCAGACACAGCAGCAAGCCCAGAAACAAGCACAGCAGCAACAGCAGGCAGAATTTCCAGTGCAATCGGCTGAGCGACATCAGATTCAATCAGTTGAGCAGCATCAACGCACTCAGGTCCTTCTGAGTGAGCACGCTCAGGCCCTCCTCTCCTCCTGGTTTGGAGTATCAAATTTCGCTCCCTCTGCAGCTGCTGCTGCTGCCGCTGCTGCCACTGTTGCCACTGCTGCCGCTGCTGCCACTGCTGCTGCTGCTGCTGCTGCTGCCAATGCTGCCACTGCTGCTGCTGCCACTGCTGCCACTGCAGCAGAAGTTGATTCAATCCCAGGACTCACAATAAGGTCAAATGCTGCTGCCACTGGTTCAGGTGGTGGTGGTGCTGCTGCTGCTGGTGCTGGTGGTGGTGCTGGTGGTGGGACCGTTTCAGTTTCATCTGGTGCTGGTTTCAATGCCCCGCCTCATGCTGCCGCCCAGCATCCAGCTCAGCTTCCCTTGGACCGTCTTCCTGGTATGCCGGGGCAGCGGCCGGGCGGGTATTCTTGTCCTGTCTGCGGCAACGTTTTCCCCACGTCGCAGGCGCTTGGGGGACACATGACGTGCCACGTGGCACGACGTAAGAGGACGTCTCGAAAGGGGGAGCCTGCTGCAGCAGCAGCATCGGCGGCTAAAGCAGGACTGGCAGGAGGGAAAGGAGGACTGAGAGGAGTAGGTAGAGGTGGGGAGGGAGGAGGAGAAGGGAGGGGAGAGAGAGGGGGAAGGGAAGGGAGAGGGGGAGGGGAAGGCAGAAGGGAAGAGGGAAGGGAAGGAGGAGGGGAAAGATGGGGAGGCAAAGGAGCTCCAGAAAAGCTATTTGAGAAAGCAACAGGGGGTGCTGGTGGTAGTGCCAAAGCCAGTCCTTTCCAATCCCTCCCCACTCTTCCCTCGCAACCCGCTTCATTCTCCCCTTCCAAGCGCAATGCAACCGTGATGCACCTCCCTTCCACTTCTGGTGCCAGCAGTGCCAGCGCTGCTGCTGCTGCTGGTGCTAGTGCTGCTAGTGCTAGTGCCGCTGCTAGTGCAGGTGGTGCTGCTAGTGCTGATGCTAGTGCTGCTGCTAGTGCTGGTGCTAGTATTGGCACTCCTGCTGCTGCCAGTTCTGCTGCTGCTCGCGGAGGTCGATCTCGGTTCACAGAAGCATCACAGCGTGGAGTGTCCACTGCTGTTGCTGCTCCTACTTCTGCTTCTGCTCCTGCTGCTGCTATTTTATCGATTCCGGAGCTACTGGAACGTAATCCAATCCGGGGCGCAAGCCTGGGCCGCAACCCAAGTCTTAACCTCAGTCCGAACCTCGGCCAACGCCCGAGCCTGGCAGACGGAGAACCGAGCCTGTTGCAGTACGTTGGGTCACTGCCTCGTCGTGATGCCCTGCCTTCACTGAAGCCAACCTCGTTAGAATCACCTTCATTTAGAGCACCTTTGTTCGCGCCTCCTTCTCTGATACCTCCTTCATCAATATCTCCTTTATTAGCACCCCCTTCAACTGCTATAGTGAGCACGGAGATGACAATCCCGCCTTCCACATTTCTAGCTACGGCTCTTCATACTGCAGCAATGGGAATTCCGTTACACCTAAGAACAGTCTCCACTGAAAGGGCTTTTAACGAGGACGCTAATAAGGCATACACTGGAATGGCTTCTACCGAAGAAGCTACAGGAAGAGGAGGGAGGGAAGAGACTGGGAGGGGTGCCGAAAGAGGGAATGGAAGTGGGAGTGGGAGAGGGAGAGGGAGCGGGAGCACAAGAGGAGCAATGGATACAGAAGTAGCTCCTGCTTTAGCTACTGTGGATACTCTGACTCAAATCAGTCATGCTGATGCGGCCTTGCAGACTGGGGAGAGACAGGGTGAGGATCTGGAGGGATTGGAGCTGACTCTGCTAATGAGACCTGCGTCACAGAGCTCTGCGAATGCAAATGCCGAGAATGTCAACACTGCTAATGTCATCCCTGGGAATAAACAAGAGGAAGCAGGGATAGGTTCGCTAAACACGAGGCAGAGGCAGAACTCGTAGTATGCTTCTGACTCTCCAGATTAGCCTTATGCAATGTCATGAAATTCAGCAATATATAAAAGGTCAGTAGGAGGTGAAAGAAGGCTTTGCCAATTTAGAGTGTTCTTGTTTCTATGACCTGAGTTGAATGCATAATTAGTGAAAGTCTGTCCTTCAAACTGCAACATCTACATATTCCACAATGCATAGATGTGGTTACGGTGTTCAAGTAAGAAATTTGACACTGCCTAGACTTGGTTGTACATGTACAGCACCGTGCTGAGAATGAAAATCGCTAGTGCGTACAGGTGAGTGCGACATTGTGTGTTTATAAGCGTTTGTTATGGGACCGTTTTAGACGCGTTGCTTCCAGATTAACCGGCTTGTCAATACAGCGAATGTCAGTGATGCGCAAAACAGGGTGTACATACACCCACTGTGTTGCTCGTAGCATGAGGAGCGTTGGATATGCAAGCAGCGGCGCTTGGCTGTTCTAACGATCACCACGCTGGCTTGGCTTGGAGAGATTTATGTAAAGGAATCGCGTTGTCGATTTAAAGCCGTGGCCCAACTATCAGCTTCAACTTCGAAGTGTTATAGCTTGGAGCTTGGTTGTCCCAGGCAATTCTGTGGCGAGAAGTTTGTCTTTAACGAGAGTCCACCTTTTTTTATCCAATAAGGGTCTCGTTACGCACACTCCATGTTTGTCCTGCTACTGTTCCTAAGAAGTTGCACCCCGCCTTTAACGCTGCGATGGGCTGTCGATGCTGTCTTATGAGGTAGAACCTCGTGACACACGCAAATAACGGTGTAGGAAGGTGAGTAGGCAAGGTGCAGGAGGTGGGAGGCAAATGAAAGGGATTTTCGACTTAGCTAAATTTGAAGAACCCGAAACCCGAAACCCCTGCGCATCAGTTTCGGTTCCATTTTCACAAAAGAAAATCAATGCTCTACGAGTCTTGTTTAGAGTGCGCAGTCCAATAAGCTCGGAACTGTGAATCGTATTTTCTGGGTGGAAGCACTTCAGAATGTGCTTGGTGGGTGGTGTTGCGTTGTCTCTGCACACCAGGTGTAGCCTAGAAGCAGAAAGAAACAACAGTTCTACGCGATCTAGCCAAATGGTTTTCCAACACCACCCTACCCCGGGCATGTGATATTTCTGTGAGGACACGCTACAGTACTTAATGTTTTGACAATAGCTGGGTGTGTACAGCTGCATGGTGCACAGATGCATCAGAGAGCACTCCAGGCGATCAGATCACGAACATCGTGACGTCACTACCACGTGACACACTGTTAGTGATAGGCTAATATGAGCTCGCACGTGAACACAAAAATATTATGATAATGTGCTGGGGATTCTGGTTTGCGGGTTCGGATACGTTCGCGTCATTTTGGAACCAGGAGAATGGCAGGCCTCGCAAACCACGCTGGACTCCGTAATATCCACGTGGATTGACTGCTGCTGATAAGAGCGTGTCCGAAATGAAGCGTCGAACGGATGTCGATGGATGTCGGTTAATTTCTACCCTCGGATCGAGAGTTCCAACCGTCAAGATTTACCGACATCGGATGTCGACGGATATCAACTTCACTTCGGACCCGCCCTAAGCTGTTCCGCAGCAGGGGACATGGATATTGTACACTCATTTCTCAACCTGCTCACCTTTCGCAATCGCTGAATACATTACTTGTTTATTGCATGCAGGTGGCATAAAGCGTACCTTGGAACCCACAGGCAAAGCCGCATCGGGTGACGGACTGGCTCTGGGGCATAATATTACCCTTATCGCCGGATACCATTTCCAACCGTTGTTTTCAGCGCTAATGTGCTGCTTGGGTAACGTGCATCACCTCAATTAACCGTTTTTCTACAAATTGTTCTGAAGGTGGTGGCGTTCTGCAACTCGTTTACGTTGTGCAACCATAAGCTCTGCTAGCGCAAATGAGGGTGTACAGTATTCTTGCGAAGCACTGAGACCACGAAACCCCTAGTGCATCTGGGCATTACGAAAAACTGTGCAGAATATGGATCAAGGTTTGCATTGCACAAGGTTGTTTCTGGAAGGTTCATTCGGCTGCCAGCGTCAGCTGGGATGAATTGTGCGAACTGCACCAACTTCCCCTCGATAGAGAATCTCGACTCTGTACAAAATGCCCCTCAGTGTTGCATACACGACGCGAATGTTGTACTCACTCGCAAATTTCATACACTGAGGTACGTGAAGTAAGGACGTGTTACCTCAAAATTCAAAAAAAATCTTGGTTCGAACAAACAATAGGTACACGCTTCGCGGCTTCTTGTGAGGTCTTCGCCAAGTCTCCGTTAGCTCGGCCAAAAAGTCGCTAAATTGCACAGATCTGTCACGTCCAGCATGAAACATCGTTTGCTGTTCGAATGAGGCCGTTCGGACAGAATGATATAGAGCACCTGCGACGCCTGCGACCAAAAACGAATAACTGATTTTGTAACTGGCGATTCCTAAGTTTCTCTCGTCATGAATCAAAACCATCTAGCGATGGTTGTGGGACGTCGTCTGTTGGGCGACGTCGCGTGTTCGATCACCTCTGTCACCTGACGTGACAGCCTGTCACATTTCACCCGATTTTCACATCTTGTTCGACCATCAGAAGACAAACAGATGAGAAAATGAGAACGAGAATGAATGAACTATGAATGAACTGAGTACAAATACTAACCCTAATTGGGTTGTACCCCTTGTGGACTACCCCACTATAGCCTACACAATATGCAAAAGCTATATGTTCTGACACACCCCCATAGGCAAAGTGGGGGAGAACAAGGGGTCACAAGACCAGTCAAGCAAAGCAAAGCAAAGCAAGCTCAAGGTGGATCACAAAGTCACCACACAGTCCGAGCACAAGGTCAAGGCCACAAGGCCAGTTCACATGAAGGGGTAGACAGATGTATATAATGCTAAACAAGCAAGAGCAGGTATATATATATGCAAGAGTACAAGCAAGGTCAAGAGGTGAGCAAGTGAGGCAAGACTGGGACAAGTCCCAGCTGAGTGCAGAAGCGCTGATGATCACAAGGCGGAAGTGCCTTGGTGAAAACATCAGCAGTGTTGGCCTCAGAGGCCACGTACGCAAGTCGCAACTGACCACGCTGCTGCAGCTCACAAGCAAGAAAGTAGCGGAGAGCAATGTGCTTCGTTCTGTGCTCCAGGCGCTGCTCACGACACAAGGCCAGCATGGCCTTCTTGTCTACGTACAGCACTGGAGGAGAACGAGGCGACTCTCCAAGGTCGGTCAGCAGGTAGGTGAGCCAGCGAAGCTCCTGTGTAGCCATGGCCCCGGCGTAGATCTCAGCCTCACATCTGGAGCCGAGAACAGAGGACGGGCGAGTAGCCCGCCACGAAACAGAGCCAGAACCAAGACTGAAGGTGTAACCCTGGGACGACCGCTGAGTAGCCTGGTCGTCAGCCCAAGAAGCGTCCGCGTGCCCAGTGAGGACCACTGGACTCCGCCCTCCAAGCACTAGCCCCATGCCCGAAGTACTGCACAAGTAGCGCAACACCCTCTTCGCTGCAGCCATGTGCTCTGGTCTGTGTCTCCCAGGAGCAACATAGCGTGCAAGAATGCTAAGAGGGTATGGAAGGTCAGGTCGTGTGCAGGTCATCAGGTACATGAGGCAGCCAACAAGCTCTGGGTACGGGCCACTCGACTCTACGGACTCATCCGAAGGCAGAGCTGAGAGCGAGTGGCGAGTAGACAGAGGAGTGGCCTGAGGCGAGGAGTACGTGAAGCCGAAGCGCTGAAGGACCTGCTGCACCATGTGTGACTGAGTCAAGGTAATGGTGCGGCGTGCTCTGTCCCGGGTGATCTGCAAGCCAAGGTAGCTGCGCAGTTCACCCAGGTCTGTGCACGTGTGTCTCTTCTGCAGCTCGGACTTCACGTAGGCGAGTCCAGCAGTGTCAGCTGTGGCAAAGACCAAGTCGTCGACGTATACGAGGATGTAGAACGGCGGCAGAGAGGTGTCGGTGCGCAGAAACAACGACGGGTCAGCAGTAGAGGGAGCAAACCCAAGAGCCCCAAGCGTAGTCCTCAGTGTGTCGTGCCACTCACGTGGTGCCTGGCGGAGATCGTAGACTGGCCGTCGGAGGCTCCACTGGGTGCCAGGAGGGAAAGTCCCAGTGAAGCCAGGTGGACGGCGCAGCCAGATCTCCTCGTGCAGGCTACCCTGCAAGAAAGCAGTGCTGAAGTCAAGAGAGTGAAGCTCGTAGTCGCGCTGAGCGGCTATGTGCAGCAGCACCCGAAGAGTGGTCATCTTTGGGGTGGGAGAGAAGGTCTGAAAGTAGTCAACTCCCTGCCGCTGACTGAAACCACGAGCGACGTACCGCGCCTTGTAGACAGGTGGAGAGCTCGGCGGCCGCTTCACCCTGAAGATCCACA